ATCGATATTTCGATCGGGAAACAAAACCCATCCATGATTGACGTTAATCTGAAATCTCCAAACTTTCATGTTTGTGAAGATTTCATACTATCGATGCCTTTCATAAAGCACCCATTGTAATTCAGAATTAGTTCCGTAATATTCTTTATTGCCTTAAAGATGTAGTAATCTGGAATAGCAGATCATTGTGCGAAACTCTCTTGAGGGAAGATGATTCCTAATGTCTAAACAAAACAATGTTTTAATTCCTTATTACAAGTTCTACGAGTAGAAACTCAAATAAATTTCACTCCGGAAATTCTCTTCGTTTAATTGCAAATATATTTCAATATTATGAAGCTACTTGTACTGTGGTTTAAAAGACCTCTTTTTATGTGATTTTATCAACTTTTTAAATGATGTACAACATTTAAACTAAACTGGGAAATTGTGTTAAATTCTAATGTTTGATGGTTAGTTAAAAAAATTCGATTCGAATATTTAAAGATGTGAATGAGGATTTATAAGCTTCTGAAAGCTTGTATAATTCTCAAAGCTTCAAACACATAATGAACTATGATTTCAAGAATGTAATTCTTGGCAGATAAGAGGAGTGGTAAATGAATGGGTGCAAACCCATTCTTTTCGGTTCGATGTCACATTTTCTTAAAATATAAATTCAACTTTCTGTGCATACAAGTTCGTTGTGTGTAAAATCTGAGGCGTCTGTAGTGTCCTTCAATTACTAATGTTACGAAAAAATAATCGATGTCCGTAATTTAGAACTTTTTTGTTTGCTTTTCAAATTTTGAAGCTCCGAACGTTTTTGTTCTCTCCGATTCAAATGAAGATGCAAGATAATTCTTTGGTGTATAAATACAATAAATAATGAGAGTGATCACAAAATCTAGGTCATATGTGCTGTCACTGTAGCAGAACAATGGGGAATATGTCTTTGGTCCTTTACTTTTGTAATCTTTCGCATGGAGAACGACATCTAAAGATAAATAATATACTAAAGAATACAAAATAACAGCTAAACCCATAACATACTTACGTAATAAGGGCAAAATCATGGGTCCTTTCTACGTAAGGTCTTCAAAATTATCCATAGGAAAAGTGCGAGATTTGGTGAGTTTCCATTAAAAGGTTCATTACTGTGTGCCAATGAACGAGATTGTTCTGAGGAAACGAGCTATGTTTTATAATTTTAAGCAAAGGTTTATTGCGTTTAAATAGAGAAAAGCGTTGCTTACTCAAATACAGGTGAGTCATTTCAGGTGCCAAAATACACCAGCATGTTTCTCATAATGTTAACAATAACTAATTATTTTATCGCTTTGATCACAGATTCATAGATTCCCATAAAAAAAGTAAGTTATGTATCTTTTCGATCTCGTCGCAGCCTCCGCGTTATGTGCGTTCTCAAGACTTCAAGTGCTGCTGCATACTCGCGAGATCTTAAGAGTAATTTGTGAACAGGTGTACTGAAATTCGGACGGCCGCGCACGATACAGGATTGTTGTAAACTGCATCCTAATTTCATCAATTAACACATTTTGATTTTTCTTCGTTTGTATCCGAGAAAAGTACTCCTTTCTTTGGTAATACTCAGAACTATTCTCAAGCCTTCGAATCGTTGTAAGTACAAACTTCTAGACGTCCTGGAAAATGAGAAATCATTATGCAGAGACTAAGTGATTCTCAGGAAAATGGCATTGGATACATTTGTCCATCTAATGGAAGAGAAGACAGTGGTGATGTTTTTCACCTCATATGACTCACCCTAGATATTAATGAAATGATCAGTAATTAGAAATGTGTGAGAAGTGGTTGTGCAGTTTGTCGGAACTTCCAGAAAATAATGAACCGAAAATCACATTTAAGAGCAAATAAAAAATCACTTCATTTAATAAAATCCGATGATTCTGTTACATATTGGGTACTATGACATATTCTATACTGAGCATACAGATTAAAACACTTTCATTCTTTAAATATCCGTTTCATCTTTTTTATGAATGGTTTTGTAAAATTTTAGAAAATAGTCTGCTTGATACAAAAGGTAATACATATAATGCGTAAAGTCACTGTCTACTATTACTTTACTTAAATGTTATGTATTTAAATAACACGAGTGCCCCAGCTGCCACTCGGAGCGAGATTATGGCGTTGGAATTTATTTCAGAGCTAATCACCAGATACTTAACAAAAAGTGAGACAAATGACCGACTGAGGTGGCTCAGGATAATCACTGATGTCAATGTAGTGCCTCTGACCGGGAGGACCAGAGGAGAGTTCGAGTCGCAACGGTGGCACGATTTTAGACACTGGCGAGAGAGTTAGGTCGAATTCAGTCGCTGACTGGGCGACAATTGTAGCGACCGGTTGCTCTTAATGGCAGTTTTCTGTGGTTTCTTCAATCAACACCAGGCGAATGCAGAAGTGGCCTCAATGAAAGGGCGGCGGACCACGAGCGATCTTCCCTTCTGTTCCTTGTCCTATCCCCAACCCTGAATTACACACACTTACATGCTCTACACTATCCAAATGTCGGGAGCGTGTAGCTTGTTGCCGCTGGCGATCACCAGCTGGGGGAGAAGTCTGAATGGGGAAACCCTACAAATCAAATTGTAGGTCGGATCTCACCATCCAGTGGGGGAGGGATGCCGCACGTGTACTATCCTTACGGAATTAATAATCATAGCCGTGGACGCACACAAAATAATTACTCAATCAGTGAGACAATGGAAAGCGTGTCCTTGGAATTCCCTTCTTGACAGAAATCTACAGTTACGGGTCAATTTCCAAATCCGGAATCATGTGAATAAAACAAATTAGGTAATTCCTTGTTTTAGTAGCAGACTACTGCTACGTATATCCAGTAAAGATAACGAGGTATCACTTGCAATCTATGTAATACCACTACCACTACCACTACCACTACCACTACCACTACCACTACCACTACCACTACCACTACTACCACCACCACTACCACTACTACCACCACCACTACCACTACCTACTACGCATCATTTGCCTCTAGAAGTTTACATCCATTTTTGAAACTTGTCATGCGTTTAATCTGCTGACGGGTAATGTAAGCAAATTCTTCAAATGTTTTTAAGAATTATCTTCATACAGAACGAGATATATTGCTGTTATAAAAAAAGGAATAAATTTGAAAAATGTTTCTTTAAGTCTTAGCTGGAAAGAGAAAAATCTTGAGTGTCAGACTTACGTTTTTATAATAAGTGTACATATTAGATGCAGCTCATAGGAGATGCTACGAATGCAAACTGTGTACGGAGAAAGTAATGTATTCCATTTTCAGTGCGTTATGACTTTCTCCATTGTCTACCACGACTATTTTGTTTTCACCTTACAGAGTTCTGTGGTATTCGAAACAGCTCTTCCTTACAGAAACTGACAATCCCCCTGATTATATAAAACGATGAAAAAGTGCACCAGCCAAACATATCTCTAGAGTAACTTAAGTAATAATTTACGAGACATACATTGTAAACGAGAAGCTTCCTTGAAACTTTTTTTAACCCTTTTAATAATATTTGCAAACAAACTTTCGAGATCTCAAACTGTTATTCAGAATGAAATGTCAAAATTACGGTCTATATTTTACTGTCAAACCAAATATCTCCTTCTTATCACCTACTATGATAAATCATAGTAATTCCATAATATTTCGATGTTTAGTCTCACATCGAACCGAAATTTAGTTTGATAGACAAAAGGAGAATGAGAGGGGTGAACGGGCATATTATGTAATTATTATTGCAAAAGCGCAACGACATTGGGCGAAATGGCTCAGGGCATCAACTGATGTCACTGCAGTCCCTCTGCCCGGGAGGTCCTAGGTTCGAGTCCCGACGGAGGCAAAATTTTCTACATTAACTTGTTAGCTAGGATGAATTAGAAATTCAGCCGCTGTCTGGAGAAGAATTCTAGCGGCCGGTTTCTCTTCTCGGTAGTTTTCCATAGTTTCTCCGATCAACACCAGGCGAATGCCGGAGCAGTACCCTACCAAACGGACCACGGACTGCGGGCGATCTTTCCTGCCTCTTCCTTGTCCTATTCTCTCCACTTACACTAGCACGAACTATACAAGCACACATGCCGGGAGACCGGTCGGGAGTTTAGAGCTTGTCCCGACTGGGGCGGTGCACACCTGTTGGGAGATACTTGGTTGGGAAAAGTCCGCTAGCCGATGGTAGGTTGGCGCCGGTTCTCGCCATACTGAGAGTTAAAAGTTCGCCACCTCCCGATCAAGAACATGCACTACACTTAGGGGACTAATTACCTTGTTAGTTGACGTGCCCGGAATCACTAAAATAATCAGTCAATAGCAACGATAATTTAAAATTAGTCAGTATTCAGATAACCATGTCCATCATGAGATAATAATATGTTATATTTCTAAATCATTGCAAAAAGGATTCACTTTAAATTTAAAAACTTTAATTTAACTACATACTAGAACAGAGTTTTGTGAAAAAACCGGATTCATGTATATAAAGAATAAGACACGTTCTTAATAAAATATGTTAGTTTTGATGTTACTGTTAAGTGGTGTTGATGTATTGGCATATAATTTTTTTTAAATTCCATGTCAAGTTGTAACGAATTATGATAGATATTCTCTTATAAATAACGCAATCCTAGATGTTAGGCGGAATTTCTATGTACCTAATGGCGAGACAAATGACGAAAACCATTATCCCGACTCCGACCGCAACGACAGTATTCGGGAAAGATGTTTTCTCCGGATGTGTCACGTCAGAGAGTCTTCGCAACATGCATATGTGACAGGAGAAGTACCAAATATTTCACAGGTAGTACGTTTAATCGTGATCCAAACAAAGTGACAGAACTCTGGAGCGGTATTGCAGCACGACCTTGGTACATTTCTGTCACCTACAATCGGGGCAGGAAGCGTATTGACCCACTTCCACAAACGCAGTGGATAGAGACTTGGATGCACGATTAAGAGAAGAACTCACCGGAGCATCTCGAAGAAGGTCGTTGTCACTCATGCCCCGAAGACGGGACCGGAAAGGACGTTCGAAGACACAAGTTCCCAACACTAGAAAACGCATCCGCGAAAGAGATTTCACGCGCACGGGCGCCCAGCGCCGTCAGACTGTGAGCCGCCTTTCTCTCCAAGGCGGAGGCGAGGACGGCAGCGTCGCGGATGGAGATGGCGCCGTCCGCCTCTGCTGCTATCTAGAGGCGGCACGGTTAACTCTCTCTCCAGAGACTGTGGCCTCGCAAGCAGCAGAGCGTTGCGAGATTCCGCCTTGAGAAAGGAAATATACAATATGCAACTTTTCAGCCCGCCTGATACAGTCCTTGTTTCTTAACTGACCAAGTCAACGCCCGAGCAGGGTGGGGCTGCAACATAAGTAGGCCGCTGAGTCAAAGGATGTTGAATTTGCAGCAAACTAATGCTAATGAATAGCACAGTTTGTTTTAACTATTAATCTGAATTTTTCTTTGGAGTAATTTACATTCATTGCAGTAAATAGACCGAGCGAAGTGTCTCAGTGCGTAGCGCGCTGACTTCGCAATTGGGAGGTCTGGGTTCGCTTCCCGGGCCGCCCATTCTGACCAGGGTTTTCATGGTTTCCCTCCGTCATATAGGCAAATGCTGGGATGGTTTCCAAAAGCCCGCGATCATCTCCCACCTGCCATTTCCCAGCATCATCCTAGTCCTTTCACCCCTCATCAATACCTATCACTTCATTCTCGGATTCCCTGCAAAAGACAGGAGGCCCTTGCCCTTAAAGGGATCTTAGTTGGCTAATAATAAATGAAAATAGTACATATTCCTGCAAATAAGTTGCATGACCTAAATTGGGAAATCACAAAGGATACGAATAACAATTTCTGGAGTTAAAGTTTTATTTCGCGGTTTTGTTCTAGTTTTCTTTGAGAAATATCAAAATAAAAGTTAAAAATTATAATACATAATTTGGAATAGACAATATCTAATCACTCAGAATTTTGCTTTTCTACAATACTCCATACGAAAGTCGAGAGGGATGAATCGTAATCCTGTTCCACAAGTCTCGTTGGCCCTTGCCCTGAAAAATGTCACCAATTAATTACCTCCTCTTACTTCCACAATACGCTATTCCTAAATAGCGAAATGGCTAAATGACGAATCCAAAATTCATGAAACTGTGCCCTTAATAACCAGAAATTAAGTTTTTTAGAACATGTAGAAAACATATAATTCGAAGCCTGCTGTAATGACACAACTGGACAAATGAAACCGATAGAGGTGGCTCATGACATCAACAGATGTCACTGCAGTGCATCTGACCGGGGGGTCCTAGATATCTAGGTCAAATTCAGCTGTCTGGAAGAGAATTATAGCGGACGGCTGTTCTGATCGGTGGTTTTTCGTGATTTCTCCGATCAATAACAAGCAAATACTTGATTAGTACAATAAAAAACAGGCTACGGATCGCGCATCATCTTTCCTCCTCTTGCCTCTCTTCACCTCTCACTTACACACACTTTTACTTAAATGCACCACCCCACATGACAGGAGCTTAGAGCTTGTTCAGACTACCCGTGTGCCCCTAATTGGAGATACCTGGACGAGGAAACTCCCGCAAAGTGCCGTAAAAGTCGACTCTGATTTCACCATGCAGCAGGGGAAGTTCCCTTCCCGTGATAAAAGCATGTGAAGAAACAGTTAGTGGATTAGTGACCATATCAGTTGACGTGCCCGGAAACACAAAATAATCAGTCGGAAAATGGCGTTACTAGGTAAATGTGTTAGCTGACAATTGAAATGCAGGAATCACATGCGTAGTAGTGGGTGAAATAAAGAGTAAACTTTGTCACAAGTCTCCATAGGATCTATGTTAATAATAAATATTATAAAATGTGATAAAATATCGGTCATTACTCAAAATTTGTATTTTTCGAGTTTTGCCAAAGTTTTAACCCAGGAACAATAAGTTGACTAAACTTATTATAACGTTTTAGTCTTACGGATTAATGTATAATTCTGACAAGTATTTTAATGTGTTGTTGAAAAGTACTACCCTTCTCGAAACTTAAAACTGATTGTTGTCAGAGCTGTTCGAGCCAGCCTATGTGCACCCACTTACTATATTGCGGCAAGAATCCAATTTTTTACTGGCCAAAAGTACTATATGTTGCGCTAATCTCCTAAAAGCTGTTTTAAACCCACGTAACGTGTTTCTATACATTCTCTTCTGTTATTTCGGTTATCCCACCTCGAGTCACATTTGTTGCTTGAGGATCTCACAATTGGTCGCTGTTTCTCAGATCTCTGCAGCTTGCCGGGGATTTTATCTAAAAAATATTGGGTATTTGGTCATGCGAGGATGCGTTTTTGCCCCGTCTCTCAGTTCTCAGGATATTAATGAGATCTAAATGTAGAAGGACGGATGGAGGTTGGTCCTCACCCCGCTTACTTGGGTCATAGAGTAATGATATACTTCCTTAGTCTGTGCTGGGGTACTGCTCCGGCTTCCATCAGGGATTGATTCATCGAAGGAAATCAAGAAAACGACAGATCAGCGTGGTTTTAGAATTATCAACAAGTATAATTATCGTTCAGGAAATGTTAGGAATTTAACCAACGATTTAGCTGGTGTCAAAAATCTTGCTACCAATGAGACTCGAACCTACGATTTTCCAGCCAGTGTAACTTTAGTTGCGAACTACATGCCTCCATCCATTTTCTAAAACTTCTGGTTGTTTTAAATTTCAAATTAAATGATGATCGCTTTAGCGTTAAATATGTTTGTCAACAAAGACAGAGATAAATGCCCTTTTACATGAAGACCGGAAAACGTCCATTATCTTAATAGTTATTTTGCTAATAAGAAATTATAGTTTTTTAGTATAGTGTTATATATTTTAACATATATTATATTATTAATTTGTTTTAAATGGTTTGTCAACAAATGTACCGAGGTTTTATCAAGTGTTAATATATATTTTAAGTTTTCTTAGCTCACACATTGACGCTCGCCACATCAAAATGTTCATAACTATCTCGGGAAGCGCGTAGTTTTTGCTACCATAGTTTAATACAGCATTTTCATTATCGATGCTGAATTCTGATGTCTAGAGAAAACAAATCGATCACCAGAGGTAATATGGATGATGTAAATGTTTTCATTTTGTAAATGTTTCAACCACAAACACTGATGTCATTTAATACGTCTGTGTCTCATATGAGTAATACTAGAGGCATTGACTGCTTTTTTTGTTGAAGCACGAAAACGTGCTGAGAGCCGCGGGCTCAGGATCTACATTTGACGTCAACAGGGAGAGATTGAATTCCAACACTGAGGTCGCACGTGGAAACACTCAGGCTGATTTTTTTTAAAAAAACAGTATACTGGAAGGTGATCTAGTGATGACTATTCGTTCGAATATTTGCATTTACTTTGTTACTCGTAAATCATCATTCTTTTCTCTAAATGTTTATATTAGTTACCTGAGAATTTTTCTTTTAAAATCCTGCATGTGTTTGTTAATATGAGTTTACACTTCTTTGCATGTACGGAGTGTTTCATCGGATATATAATTTAAAGTCCCTTTTAAAAACTGTGGACTTCATTATTGCTCGTAGTTCATTGTGCGAAGTGAGTAACACGCGTTTCCAGAAGTTACCGAGAAGATAGTGGAAGCATGCAGTAATTTTTTGCTCTGAGTAGGAGGAAGACATATACAACTACCATGAATAATTCGTTTCTTGTAATATGTTCTTGAAAACAAAGTTATTTTAAACAAAACAAATCGAGGAAGGCAGGTAATTCCGGTTGTTTTACATACATTAGCGTGAGACGACGGCATGAACAGAAACTAAGAAGTTAATTTGTACAAAACAATAGTCGAAAGTCTACTCAAATAAGGTGCTGAGTTCTGAATCACGAATGCAGAGGACAACCTGAATTCCAAGAACAGATATATACTATTAAAGATGCTGTCAGATTAAAAAAAATATTTAAAAACGCAAGAAGTAGAGAAATAATAAAATTGACATTGGAAATGATTAAACAAAAACATTATTACGATATAAGCAATGAAGGGTTGACAGCCAGCGACTACCAAAAAAGTATGGGAGATCATGCCCGAAGAAAGGTGTAGAGGGAGGCCAAGAACGAAGTGGAAGGAAGAAGTGAAAGGACCGATGTCGGCTAGAGGCTTAGAGAATGAAGTGTTGAAAAATCGAAAGATATGGAGATTACGCAGGGGAAAACGGCAATGGCTGCAAAAATCTCACTTTACTACTATTATATTTTCCCGATAACACAAATGAGAAAATTCAATTTCCGGATAATAACTTTCTCCACATAAAATATACGAGATACTTTTAATGGCAATTTAGAGCTATTACTTTAGTGTTTGATAACTTGTATATTGGAATTTCTGTCAGAAAAACTCAACCCACGTCCGAGGAAACCATCATTCGCGCGTTTTCTTTTTGGAAACCACGATTAATGGGTAAAAATCCTTTTTTGACAAGTTTAATTTGTAAAATAAGTAAAGTTTTGGTGCAGCAATGTAGAGAAAGGGTCGGAAGAGGGCGGGCGTCCGCCCGAGGGGCTTCCGGGTGTTTCGCAAGGGGCGTGCGGCTGCGTGGGCGCCCGCCTGCCCTCCCGGCTCGGCCGCGGCTGCAACGGAGTCGAGCGGCGAAGTCGCGGCGCGAGCAGGTGCGTGCGCCAGCTTTTTGTACTCGCCACTAGAGGGCACCTCGGCGAGGATTGGGCTGAGGTGCGGCGGCTAGTCTACGGTCTCCTCCGGTCTCCTGGCGGGGAGGAGCAGTTTGCCGCAGTTTGCCCCCTCCCCAGAGGCCGCCTCACCCAAGGGCAGGTTGGGTGCGGGACGGGGCGGGGCGAGGCGAGCGGGCGAGCGCCGCCGGTCCGCTCTGCGCTCTGCTCACTTTCAGTCAGTCGCCGGCCGCGCGTCCCCCGAGTGGCTGATTGCGCAGCGAGCCCCGCGCCCGCTGCCATGGCCGCCCCGCCGCCCGGCCAACCACCCCAGCTGGCGCGCCTCGCACCCCGGGCTGCTGTCGCTGGCTCCTGGGTGGCCGCCGGGCCCGCCTCCGTCTTCGGGAAAGGTTAGTGCGCCCGACGTGCGACCGCTCACACCGCTCTCGTGCGCTCCGTTGCCATTCTTGCACGGGAAGGAGCTGTGAATGGGTGATCCACGCTGCCTCAACGTCGCTCAAGGTGTTAGGCTTGTAGGACGAAAAGAATAAGGAATGCTTTCGCGTAAAGCAAACAATAAATATATTCATGAGCTATTTGGAGACAATAGCACAATACATATTTTCAGTTTTTTCAATACCAAATAAATATATGAATAATTAAAACTGAATAACAAATTGAGACAGCTGACACAAATCTACAATATAAATGCTTTAATTTTAATAATTCACTACTTATATCCCCAAATTTTCATGCAAATTGTTTTTTTATTTAATGTTGCATTTATGAAGGAAATACTGGAAGATTAAAAAGTGTATGCAGTGTACATCTTCCTATCAGCTGATTATACATTAATAAACTAGGATTGCAGGCTTTCCAGCTTACTGGAATGTTTGAGATGCTCAGAAATATGTAATGGAGAGCCTCCTATGCCCCCTGCATACACACCCATGTGGGTGGGGACCTTGCATCAGGAAGCGTCTGAGTAACAGATGTTCCTCTATCATGCAGGAACAGCAAACTCGTTGCCATCCACCTGTTTTTCTTCTCTCCAAACACCTCTTTAAAAGAAAAATTACTTGTAATCTTCAGTATCTCTACAACAGTCTTCTTCGTTTGTATGAAAATGACACATGATAACATGATGATCAATGAAAATGGTCCATTAAAAGCTTTTCTTCCGGATTCAGCAAAGAACAGAGGTCTGACCGCACTTCAATTCACATGTCCGGTTCGTAACGGCGTTCACAGCTGAGTGAAGCAAGTTTTGGCGTCATATGTTGCTCTCCCCAGCCATACAGTTATCCTTGCGCCTGCAAGTAGAGGCAGTTCACACAGAGCGCGATGTCTTGAAGGCCTCTTCCGTTGACAACATACGTACAAGTATATAGGAGGCTCTGCCCAGGGCGAGAACTTCCAGTACGGTAGTTTCCACCTCCCAAGAGGCCACATTAAGAGTTCACGATAGAAGGACCATCTGAAATTAGTGAAACAAAATGTCGCGGAACAGATAATATTTAAGATAACTGACATACAACTTCATTAAATGGATACATTTTGAATTACATTCAAAGAAGTGTAAATGTCTGGAATTTGATCTTTTCGAAGTCATAATGTACTCACATACGTTAAATATAAGTTATAGTTAAAATAATGTTTAAAAAGTCATTGCAAACGCCCTGTTAATATTTAGATTTTGAATAATAATTTTGTTTTCTCCCCGTTATTTGCTAACCCTTTCCCTTAGTCACAATGTTTTGTTCTCGCTACTAATAAATCAGATACGGAACACTGTGGAATACTCAATTCTTTTTCAGAAAATGGTAGAACTATAATTTAAGAATATATTTATTTACACACAACATAGTTAAAAGTACGTGAATCCATTCAGTTTGTATTTCATCGCCCTTTTTCTCTTCTTGTTCTTCCTCTACATTTTAGTGTGTGCCACTACAAGAACGTGTTCGGACTCGCATAGTTGGGTCAGTGCTTGGATAATTTTCTTTCTCAAAATGAAACTGATATGCCATTCATTTAATAGCATTTTAAAGATCCTTACTAAGATAAAATTCTTAGCAAAACTTAGCAAAACCATTTCCCCTTCTACAAGAACAACGATAGAATTACATGTACCGAAAAGCGCACATGAAATTAAGACGCATCATTGTACAAAGGACTAAAATTAACGTACGCCAACTGTCATATATCGGTACCTACAATTCATTCAGTAAGCGCTTCATTGGATCTATTTACCGGATGTGGCGAAACAATGGCTGGGAAACGTTTAAGCAGAATTACGAGATGCCGGCGAGCCGCGAACTTTCTTATGAACGGAAGGAAATTCCACGGAGTCAGTGAAAGTGCGAGCACAGTAGTTGTATACTCGGATTGTGCAACCAAATATCATAACAATGGTTTCGTGCAGCATCGCGTGATCTTTACATTTCCTGCGTGAATTTTGTATTATAATTTCTCGCGATATCGTTTCACCATAATTTGAACACGTAAATATTTAACACGTTTCGACCGGGCAGAATTTTTTAACATTCCAAGGTTTCAGTGTTCGATTTTTTCTATTATTTTAAAATCTGTCTGAAATAAGCCAATGTTGATCGGGTATTCATTTAACAGAATCATCTCTTAGGAATATTAATAAATTAAATAGTCGGATCGTCCTGACTCGACCCGACCCTTCTGCTTTCGGAGATGGGGTAGTTTTTTTTTTTTATTTTTTTTTTTAAATCTCATGTTGACAGGGAATTTTCTCTTCTTTTGAAGGTTATATGTGAACATTCGATAAAGATAGGAATAAAAGCGTAGAATTGCATGAAACACACACAAAAAACATTATTTTAAGTACATAAAGACAGAACGTACAAAGGAAATTAAATGAAAATTAATCAATAAATACATTGGGTTTAAATACGAGCAATTAAATCCTATTAGAGAAGATAACATGGGCCTGGCTGGGAGATCCTAAGTTAGACCACTCACCGACCCCTGAACCCCTTTAAGCACCGTATAGCTTAAGGACCGTCATGGACAGCGGAATTTTTTGTGCTTCCCTTAAAACGGACGGTTCATAACTTTTAACTCGTTTAAAACTGTTTATCTAGAATAGAAAGAGACAGAATAACTGTACGTGACTAGCGAATAATATACACCAAACTACAATAATTGTAAGAATTAGTAATAAGCCAACCACCCACCCTGCGTGTCAGCGGCCTTTGCCGTTAATGGGGTTAAACCAGGCTAATAATAATAACAATAATAGTAGTAGTGGCAGTAGTAGCAGTAGTAGTAGTAGTAGCAGTAGTAGTAGTAGCAGTAGTAGTAGTAGTAGTAGTAGTAGTAGCAGTAGCAGTAGCAGTAGCAGTAGCAGTAGTAGCAGTAGTAGCAGTAGTAGCAGTAGTAGTAGTAGCAGTAGCAGTAGTAGCAGTAGTAGAAGTAGTAGTAGTAGTAGTAGTAGTAGTAGTAGTAGTAGTAGTAGTAGTAGTAATAAATAGAGTGAAGAAAGTTGAGAAAATATCGAGAATAGACACCACTCTCTATTCTGTGAAATTATTTTTGATGAAAGATTTGAAATGAATTTTTTCTTGTGTAGGAAATGTGAAAATTGTCTCATGCACTTTTTTTTACTTTCTCGCATACTACGTTCATAGTATATAGAAAATTATGTAATGCTGCAGCTTAAAACGTCGATTTATCGGCAGAGAAATCGTAAGGAAGGTCGCTGATACCTAAAAGTGGAAAATTCTTGTCACTAAATGTAGTACATTACTTTCTTCAACAAATTGTGTAGACAGAACCAACGTTTTCTAGATCCTTGATACCGAAAAATCTGTTTACGACAAAACCTTCGTCCATCTGTGAACACTATGGGCTAAAATATAGACAGAAATTTCACCAAAATTAATATTCCCCGATCGAAATAACTGATGTCGCGAAATTTTATGCGCATAATTCGGTTTTGGGGTACTTTATATGAAACTCTAAAGACATTTTAAAAATTTTCTTAAAATGGTTTCAAATATTTTTTTCATATTTTTTTCAGTTAGAGCAAAGTACGCTTATAAAATGTCACAGGTTCGATTTTTCTTGAAATCTCTGAATTTTCGGACATTGCAGAAGTTTCATTCTTTCGAGGTTTTCCTACCGCTACAATATTGATGATATTGCGTTTTTGTTAATGTTCTTCAATAATACATCAAGTAACGAGTGCATTTTTTTCAAAATATAAGCGTTAATTTTGCCTGAAATACTCGTAAATGCAATTTTAAAAACAAGATTTTCTAAGAAATGAAGCTCATTTTTTTCACACAGTACTACATACACTTTATACAGGTTTTTGATGTACATTTTTCATTACTTAGAACAAGTTCAAAAGGAAAACTTCTTAGATTTAAGGACAGAGGCAAAAAATGTATGGTCATAAATCGTATATAGTTTTGCAAAACGGATATACCGTGTGCTCAGAAATCGGATATTCTCCTGTATACATGTTCAAATCGATGCCTTATTTCAAAAAATACTGTAAACATCAATCATTCATTCTGCGACATCGTGAATGAAATTATCGTTTAATTAAGCCCACCCTCTTTGTTGTTCTTGAAGAGGACCCAAATCTACCACTAAAAATTCTTAAAACTAAAAAATAATGTGTTAAAAAAATATGCTCCATGGGTAACTTAGGAACAGGAAGTCTGTTTTTTTAGAATATGCCGACTTGGACCACGCGTGCATGCACCCCGCATTTACCGGGGCTTACTAACATCTCGGTGGCAGGTGCATGAACTTATCATGGGATCAGCATTTTGCTAGATTGAATTTTTATCCCTCAGGGTTGTTAACCCTGAGGTTATGGAATATTAAATTATGATGGTAATAAGGGGTGAAGAGACGACACACACATACATACACAACACTACCATACCTGAGGCGGGACTCGAACCCGCAATCTTCTGGTCCGGCACTACTGCCTCCTGATTAGCTTACAGAAAGTCATTATAGAGGTTTATCGTTAATATATATATAT